GCCTACCCTTGTCGAATAGCGGCTTGAACCTTTCTCCTCTTTCAGTACCAAAAAAAAAAAATAAATAAATAAAAAAACACAAAGATTTTCTTTCATTTTAGTTTAACATTCTCATAAGAACATTCATAGTCGTTGGAGTCCCAATTCATCAATACTATTGAAAATTCTTCTTAATTAATTTGGCAAAACGCCAATTTTATTCAAACACTTACGAAACATTCTGACCCAACATATAGCCAAACTTCATGATCGTATGATCTTTATAACAAGATACTTCTACTAACAAAGGATAAATATATCCATGAAATAACTAACGGTGTCACTAAAATTGCTGATATTTTATCACTGTATAAACTACTACATTCCTCTATCTATAGATATATTGTGTCTACCTCATTGATGCATCGCCCCACGAGGTGGGAATGAATTTTATCTCCAAATAAAAGTTGACTTTCCAAAATTTTGGTTACATGTACTTCTCCCAAGGTGCTAAATTATTTTTTGAAATCATCATACATTACCTGAAAGTACCTCTAGAGTAATTGCACATATGTTCAAGCACAATACACCAATGAGATTATAAATATTTCTATAAAAAGTGACTACTTAATTCTAACATTCAAAACTGTTTTGATACTCCTACATTTCATTTTCAGTGTTATTTATCTAGAATATAGACGAACAATATAATCTATATTTTGCAATGATAAAACAAAACAATGAGAAAATATTGAGAAGCATATCATTTGTTAAAATATTTGACAACAGAAGAATTAGAATTCCATTATATCAGTTATGACGATACTTTTAGTCATTTGTAAAGTTTATTATTATGGAGTCATGATTCAAATATACATCATGTATACAAATTTTTAGATTTTTTAATTATTTAAAATTGAAAATAAATAATATATGATCATTATTTATGAGAACCAATTTCTTATAGAGTCCATATATTTAAGCGCTAGCAACAAAAAAATAGTAATTTTAAAAGACTTTTTGTTTGTAAATATTGGTATTCATACTTTTTTAAGAAAATTATAATGTTTTCTTTTTCTCATTGCATTACTATTATATTATTTGTTTCTTATTCTATAGACAAATAATATTTTGTTTGCTAAGTAACTACAACACATTTATACATATTATGTTATTTTTTGTATGTGTTTTACATAATGATGGTATCAAATTATCTTATTTATTAGGCTACAATTAATATAATCACATAAGATTAGATGTAATTTAATATATTTGATAAAATTGTACTTTTTATACGAATTATTAGATTAAAAAGTTTTAGAATTTTTTCCAATGTTTGATAAAATATTAATTAACTAAGTCATTTTCATAATCACTGAACACATATATGGTACCACCATTATAGGGTTCATTTTGCAGCAGTAATTGACTTCACATAGCTAATGTTACTTCATTTCCTTTCTCTGGCCTAGCCTTTCCTTTTATCTATGACTTCACATTGCTTCGTTTCGTTTGTACCCTAAGGTGCATTTGACATAGTTTCAGCATTATGACAAACTCGTGTCAAACATATATCGGATTTGGGCGCTGTAGCCAAAACGTGGGAACAGTTAGAAGTTTACACCCATTTTTTTACTTTTTTTTTAATATGAATTGTTTCGAATTTATGTATGGAAAACATACCACAAGTTTATCTTATGTTATTTTATACTTAATAAAATTAATTTAACTATATTTGTATATCCTATATTATATTATATTTAATTACAATTTTTAATTATATATTTATAATTCATAAATTCATTAATAATATTGTCGAGTCAATTTTTGTTCATAAAATTTTTAAAAATATATTATTTTCATTGATTTTGCTTATGTTGACTTGAGAAAAGTTATGTTTTTTTATTATATACAGAGAAGATATAAGATTTCTTATATTTTTTATGTTGTATTTATTGAGTAATTGTGTTTATAATTTTTCTATTAAAAAAATATTAAACACGTGAACTTTTTAGTTCCTATATTTTTTTTTTCTTCCAAAAATCACTCATTTTATCCCAAGATTACCTATTAATTTACCAATTGAGTTACATTTCTTACATATTAAATATTTTATAATTAAAATATTTCTTGTTTTATCTGTTCAATATGATACTTATATATTATATTCAAAAATTAATATAGTAAATAAAAAAGTTTTTTAAAATTAGAATAATAAAGATATTTTTTTCTAATCTACTATAAACGTACAAATAACTATTGTCTATCACCTCAAATTTACACAAAAAATTAATAAGAACAAAAAACTAACAAGCGTTTAACAACTCAGTTCGATTACATCGATAAGTATATATTTAAAAGGTTTATATTTAGTTATATTAATTATATTATTTTCGTTTATTAGTTTGTTTTATATTTATTAGTACGTGTCACAACTTAGTTATTATTCATATTATTTCTTATATTTAATATTTTTTTAAACATTTATCTTGTTCTTTCACATGTTCTTAACTGTAGATTTGTCAAAAAAGACATAATATAAAGTATAGAATTTTTTTGATCATCTGCCTCATTATATATCAAATATTTGTATATCCTATATTATATTATATTTAATTACAATTTTTTAATTAATATTTTAATTAAATATTTACAATTCATAAATTCATTAATAATATTGTCGAGTCAACTTTTGTTCATAAAATTTTTAGAGATATATTATTTTCATTGATTTGCTTATATTGAATTGAAAAAAGTTATGTTTTTTAATTACATATAGGGAGGATATAAGATTTCTTATATTTTTTATGTAGTATTTATTGAATAATTGTGTTTACAATCTTTCTCTTAAAAATATATTAAACACGTGAACTTTTTAGTTCCTATATTTTTTTTATAAATCACTCATTATTTTATCCCAAGATTACCTATTAATTTACCAATTGAGTTACAATTCTTACATATTAAATATTATATAATTAAAATATTTCTTGTTTTATCAGTTCAATATGACACTTATATGTTATATTAAAAAATCTAATATAGTAAATAAAAATTTATTTCAAATTAGAATAATAAAGATTTTTTTTTTCTAATATACATGTATAAATGTACAAATAACTACTGTCTATCACCTCAAATTTATACATAAAATTAATAAGAACAAAAAACTAACAAGTGTTTAACAACTCAGTTTGATTACATCGATAAGTATATTTTTAGAAGGTTTATATTTAGATATATTAATTATATTATTTTTGTTTATTAGTTTGTTTTATATTTATTAGTATGTGTCACAACTTAGTTATTATTCATAATTCATATTATTTCTTATATTTAATATTTTTTAAAACTTTATCTTGTTCTTTCACATGTTCTTAACTGTAGATTTGTCAAAAAAGACATAATATAAAGTATAGAATTTTTTAGATCATCTGCCTCATTATATATCAATTTTTTGTATATTCTATATTATATTATATATAATTAAAATTTTTTAATTAAATAATTTCAATTCATAAATTCATAAATAATATTGTCGAGTCAACTTATGTTCATAAAATTTTTAAAAATATATTATTTTCATTGATTTGCTTATGTTGAATTGAGAATAGTTTTATTTTTTTTAATTATATATAGTGAGGATATAAGATATATTTCTTGTTTTATCTGTTCAATATGATACTTATATATTATATAAAAAAAAAACTAATATAGTAAATAAAAAAGTTATTTAAAATTAGAATAATAAAGATTTTTTTTCTAATCTACATGTATACAAGTACAAATAGCTATTGTCTATCACATCAAATTTACACATAAAATTAATAAGAACAAAAAACTAACAAGCGTTTAACAACTCAGTTCGATTACATCGATAAGCATATTTTTAGAGGTTTATATTTAGTTATATTAATTATATTATTTTTGTTTATTAGTTTGTTTTATATTTATTAGTACGTGTCACAACTTAGTTATTATTCATATTATTTCTTATATTTAATATTTTTTTAAACTTTATCTTGTTCTTTCACATGTTCTTAACTGTATATTTGTCAAAAAAAAAAACTAATATAAAGTATAGAATTTTTTCGATCATCTGCCTCATTATATATCAAATATTTGTATATTCTATATAATATTATATATAATTACAATTTGTTATTTAATATTTTAATTAAATATTTACAATTCATAAATTCATTAATAATATTTTCGAGTCAACTTTTGTTCATAAAATTTTAAAAAATATATTATTTTCATTGATTTGCTTATGTTGAATTGAGAAAATTTATGTTTTTGTTAATTATATGTAGGGAGGATATAAGATATGATGACATTAGTATATCACCAATTTGCCATTAAAAACATGTGAAAGTAAGTGTTTTTTTAGGTAGTTCATTTTTTAATTAAAGAATAAATAAAATATTATGTGTATTAGTGTATTACTAATTTGCCATTAAATACATGTCAAAGTAAGGGTTTCTTAGGCATTATGAATTTTTACAAAAACACTCATCCTTTTAAAATAGTATAGATATAGATATAGATATAATTCTTTTTTTTTTTTTGCCAAAACGACAAAGGTAATAAAGAAAAGCACAATATAATTCTTCATTCAACTTAAAATTGTTTTAAAATTTTATTCTAAGTATTACATTTACGAAAAATTGAATTGCAATAACATTTTATTCTAAGTACTCTAGAACTAAAAAAAAAATTTAAGAAAAGTTTTAATACAATAATATTTTGATTTCTAATGGAACAAAAGTTTATAAATTTAGAAGATGAAATAAGCATTTCCCTATTTTTTTTGGGATTTATTATTATTATTATTGGGTAAGTAACTGGTAATCTTATTATTGTATACCACATTTTTTCAATACTGATCTTAATTTATTTAGCTACTGATTGAAATTATGTCAAATTTATACTGAATATTTATTAACCAAAAACTATATAATAAAATTTTATTTGTCAAAAAAAAAAAGAAAGAGGAAAAAATACTAAGAGCTAATTAGTCTACACTCTACAGCAATTAATAGAAAACTAGACAATAGAACCGTTACCCACAGAGCGCACGCAGTCGTCGTTTTCATAACGGCTAGTTTTTGTTGTTCGAACAATTTCCTTATTTTCTTCGCACTGACAAAAANAAAAAAAAAAAAAAAAAAAAAATCAATTTCCATTTTCGTCTCCTGCAAATTCTTGCTTTGGAGTCACCGTGCAATCCATTCGCAAAACGCCTTCAGAGAGAGATAATCATCACCGTCTCAGAAACCCGGCGGAGCCGAGCAAAAAATGGCGGACCCTAGCGGCGGAACATCAGCGCGCTGTCCGGCGGCGGAGCAACCAGCGCCGCCGCCGCCTCCGCCCACCCACCGCCGCCCCAGGGTCAGGGAAGTCAGTTCCCGGTTCATGTCCCCCCTGACCCACTCGAATTCGACCCCAATCCCTAACCCTACCGACCTTCCGCGCTCGAAATTGGCCCGCCACCGCCACCCGCCGACCGGCGACGAGAACCACGCGCCAGAGGTGAACCGGAGCCTAGACAGGCCCTCGTCGTCGTCCTCTTCCTCGATCCTCTCAACCGTGCTGAGGAAACCACACCACCACCCCCCGCAGCGCGTTAGGCACCCGCCGCAAACCGGAGACCCCAAATCCCATCCAAATCCCGACGCTAGGGTTTCGTCCAGGCCCGACACGCCAATTGCCACGTGTATGGACAGAATCGTCCCGTCACGTTACCGGCAGGTCACTCCCAGCATCCAGCGGTCCATTTCACTGAACAGCAGCGGCTCCTCCTCTGTCACGACCGCCGCCAGGCTCCTGCAGGAAGCCACGTCAGATGTGCAGAAAAAGCTTCCCAGGATTTCCATGTCGAGCCGTGATGACTCAGACCCGTGCAGCAGCACGGCTTCGAATCAGGGAAGTTCATCTTGCCCAAACTCTCCGATTTGCGTTCCGAGCAGTAAACAAAGGATTGTTCCGGATATTCGGGCTTCAATGCCAGACATGGATAAATGGCTTACGGATATGAGTTTTGGTGGGAAAGTGACGGGCGATTGTACGCGCTCGTTGAATTTTTCCTCGTCTTCCGTGAAAATGGGGGGAGTTATTGCCCTGCCTCCCCATCCTTCCTCGAATGTGAGGTTAGGATTGGATTCGAAGAAAGGAAGGAAAGGAAATAATAATCAGCAAGAAGATGTGCATTCGGTCAGGATGTTGAACAATCGTTATCTTCAATGGCGTTTGGCAAATGCAAAAGCGGAGGCCACGGCTCGTGCTCAGAAGGAGGAAGCTGAGGTTTGCTGGTTAAATTCTTTTATCTTCTGCTAAGTGATTTTTATTTTTTTTTAATGAATTGAGTGGTCTGATATAAGTGAAACCGAAGGGTTTGTTGGTGGATTTTTATTCTTGTTTTATGCATATTTGTTGTGTGTGTGCGTGTGGCTTTCAGCATTTGTGTTTGTTCTAGATTTTGATGAAATCAATATTCATATTGAACCTTTCTTATGTTTCGTAATAGTTGGTGTGCTCTTTCTTCTTCATTGTTCAGAGAAAGTTCTTTTCGCTCGGTGCAAAGTTATCAGATATGCGCGAAAATGTGAGAAGGAAACGCAGTGAACTTGCAGTGTTGAGAGGAATAAAAAATTTTACAACTATCGTCGAAGCCCAGGTAAAGATTTATTCTTATAATCTTTTCAAGGTCCTTGAAGCCAGTTTCTTGTGTATGTTCAGCATTTAAATTTGTAATTTGGCACTATTTTTTGAGACAGTCCTTGGGGCAAAATAATGCGGTACTTACATGATTGGACTAAATGTTGATGGCATTGTCCACCTTAAACATTTATTCCAAACTGAACTAAGCCAGCACAATTTTCGCTTACTTTTTATATCTTCCTCCTGTAGTTTGCTTTTTGTAAGAAGAGTGTATTGTTTGTCTGCTTACACATTTTTTTTCCGGGGATAATGTTTACAAAGCATCTAAAGTTTCTGATAAAACCATTTTTAGATGCCATATCTCGATGAATGGGATAATTTGGAAAACGAGTACTCAACTTCTCTATTGGAAACAACAAACGCATTGCTCAGTTGCTCTGCTAGACTTCCCGTTGGGGGATTTGTGCGGGTTAGATTTCTTTTCTCCATCTTCTACTGTGTATGATTTGAACTACACAAATTCTTCAACTGGCATTGTAAAAGTTTTTACACATTTATTCATTTATTTGGCGCGTTTTTTTAATTGAACTGATTTGTGAGAGCCAAAATTTTCTCAGGCTGATGTTGGGGAGCTGATAGAGGCTCTTGGCTCGGCTCTTAAGGTGATTGAGTCGATAGGCTCTCATACCCAGAGGTTTACACAAGAAGTAAGATCATATTGCTACAAATAGACAAACAGTATTAAGGATTTATCTTCTTATGAGTTAATGCTTGAAGTTATGTACTAAACCTTTTTTTCGTGTCCTTAGGCAGAAAAAATGGATGTGTCAGTGTCTGAACTAGCTAGGGTGGCTGGTGGCGAAAAGGCGCTTATCGAGGAGTGTGGAGACTTACTGTCCAAGACATATGTCTCACAGGTATATTCTCATGATGCAATATTTTCGGCTCCTATAGAGATACGAATGTGTATACATATATATATCTGTGTGTGTGTGTGTGTGTGTGTAGTCTTACAGATTTTTTTCTTCTCTTTTTTACCTCAATCTGACTTTGCTATTTTTTTTTTCCAGGTGAAAGAATGCAGCCTCAGGAGTACTTTGGTACAGGTTCACAACAGTAATTCACATCAAAAACATAAGAGTGGAGAAGATATACTTTAGAGAGAGAGAGAGATCACATTCACAGCCCCGCATGAATGGAAAAAGGTCAGTGAGCTCGTGATGTGCTCTATTTTTGTCCTCGGATTGCAAAATCCCAAGGGGATCATTTTTTGCTACACAGAATACGTATGTAAATGTAACAAACTCCCGAAAGGAAGAATAAAATGATCCCGTCCCTTCTTTGGTTTTTTTTTTTTTCTGGTCGGTGTAACGTGTATGAATTGCCGTAAATTCTCATCGTTATGTGAAAACTGAAAAGACTACATAGCTCAGGATTTGTGCCCCTGTAAAGTTACTTTGGATGTTCAAGCAAACTACAATGTTAGATAAGAAATGAAGGTTGCCAAAAATTTGTGTCTGGGAGGTGTCTGTTTATTACTTTATTTTGATTAAAGTAGCAGCAAACAAACTGAGATTTGAGAGTACTGAGTCATGATGTTTATGGGAGGATACATACATCAAGTAGAGTTTTTATTAATGTTCTTATTCAAAAGTAGAGTTTTAAATGAATTCTAATCGAGATCGTTCATGTTCAACAAAACTGCTTACTTTATAAATCAAGCAGAGCTCAGATGAAAATGCTCGAGATCGTCCATGTTCAACAAAACTAATTATTTAATCGGTGAGCTCAAATAAAATGCTCGCGAACAAAAGTTTGCTCGCTCGAGATAGTTTGTATTCAACAAAGCTCGTTCATTTATTAATCAAACCTGACAGCTCAATAAAAAATTAAGACTCGTTTGATAATAGAACGAACACGAGATCATTCACTAACATGATTATTCAACAGCTTCAATAAACTTATTAACTAAATTATTAAAACAAGAACTAGCCCTAACTTCAACGAGCAATTAAATGAACGAGGTCGAAAGACAAATTTTTCCTCAAATAACAAGCAAACGAAACACGAGCTCAAAATGCCCAAGTTCGGCTCGTTTCAGTTCAATTACAACACTATCTAAATAAAGTGTCAACAAATATAACGGTGTTCAACAATCCTTATGGCAATGGATATATAAACAGTGTCAAGACAACTAGACACAACCCAGTTTTCTTCACCCTATGAATTCCAGACTTCAATATTACTTGCAAAATTTACACACACACACCCGCACCAAACCAAAAAAAAAAAAGCAAAAAAAAAAGCAAAAAAGGCCCTTCTGAGAGATAAATTCCACTCCAGGCCTCTCTTTGCTAAAACCTAAACCAACCATATTATTTATTCATAACTGAAAAAACAACCTGACCCAAACAAAGACTTTCACCACACATTGACTGAAAATCTTACATAATCATTTGCCATCATTAGAAGCAGTCGAGGTACGAGTAGCTCCTGCACCGGTTGTACTGTAAGAGGCTTCCGTAAGTGCGGTCCCACACTCCAACGAATAGAGATTCGGTGTCGGGGCTAAAAGAGACTCCCGATATCTCCCCGAAAAAGTCTATCTCCTGCTCCTTTTCGTACCCGTTTCTAACATCGTACACGTGGACAAAATCGGCCGGCTCGGCCGTGGCCATGAAATGGCCGTCAGACGAGAAGCGGATCGACCGGATGGCGCCTAGGTTTCCTTTGAGCATGGCCAAGGATTTCGACAGGTGGCGCGAGTCCCACACTCGGCAGGTCTTGTCTTGATTTCCAGTGGCGAACAGGTAACCGTTCGGGTGCCATGCGGACGCGAAGGAGAAATCCAGGTGACCACGAACATGTGCAATAGTCTTTCGAGGAAAAAAAAAAAAAAAAAAATCAATCACATGATAAAAAAAAATAAATAAATAAATAAAAAAAAAAGAAAGCTCCATTCAAAATGGATTTGTTGGTTAAAACATAGTTCATTTGAAAAAATGTGGTATGGGTAGTTGTTAGTGGAATTTTGAGTTTAAAACAAAATAACATTTAAAATAAATAATTAAAGTTAAACTGATGTAAACGTAGGAGAGATGACGTGAGGTGATGGTTAACTAAAATTATGTGCGTGAACTAATAATAGTGAATTAAAGTTGATGTGATGTGTAAGAGTAACTGATTGGGTATTATTTAATTACATTGATAATATCGAGGATAGTGAGGTTGGGTTAAAGTTGAATTAGGTTTTGAGTTAGATTGAATATGGATTGTAAAATTTTATATCCAATCACCCCGTAAAAGTTTTCATAACGAATGTCTCCCGTTGAGTGCCGTTCTCTTTGTAAAATGCATAAAATATAAAGGGGTTATTGTGATTTTGCAAAAGAATTTTTGTTCCAGAAGGGTGAAAATGGGAACAGATGAAAAATGAATAACAAACACTGTACCTTGCCAGATTGTGAATCGACTAACATCCCATCAGGATTATCTCCGACAATTGCAATGACTTTGCCATCTGGACTCAGAGAGGTATGCTGCAAATAAAATCACATAGTATTATTATAAAAACAAACATCCGTATATGCACAAATGATGTACAATATGTCACATGCATTGGATTAGACCATTAAAGTCTGGAATCTGTTTATTTTTTAACTCGAAACATTGGCAGTAATGAGAAAGAAAGGGAAGTACATGAACACCTGACCTGCAAATCAGTCTCCATAAACACAATGCAACAAACATATAACGTGTCCAAATTTTGTCTTGTCCTTTCTAAATTTCTAAGCAACTCCAATTAAGATCTTGAAAACTTAAAACATGCAGCCAATGATAATAAAGACTCAAAGCCACAATGATCAAAAGATGGACGAGATTAAGGAGTGCAAAGCGCATAGCCTAAAAAACACGTATTGTTGATTTTCTGTCTGTTCGTCATTTTGCACGAAAGAACCAGTCATTTTCATTAATATTCTGTATATACATGCAAAATACATACAAGTTACCAAAGGAACTTACATTTACAGGCCAGGGGTATGAGAAATGTTTGACAAGCTGGAATCTCCCCATGTCAAAATCCCGTACTCCACAATCGTTATTAGAAGCTGTAAAATGAACAGAACCACTAACCGTGGTCCAATACGGCAAAACCAGACATGTTAAGAAATGGATCCAGATAACAGGCAACAAAATTGGCACTTCACGTATGGCCAGAGAATTCATTTATTTGTTGTTGTATGATGAATTTTAGTATAACTACGCATTGCGTCTTTTTAAATGCGAGTACAAGAGGAAGATACTAATTTAATCAGAAGCAGAAAACAAATCTAGCGAGGTAAAGATACTGAACAGTGAGCACAGAGAGGACAGAGTAAACTAAAGAGTTTGATTCAATAATTTATAAATAAGAATGAAGATATGTGACAGTGACACTTGGAAGCGCACGATGGCATAACCCACAGAATAATCAACTGGCCGCAACATACCAACAACAAATCTTCACCTATGAGCTACTTAGATGATATCAAGTTACACACCCTGATATTGTCATGTGAGCTGTCACTGGATATATATAACTAACAATCATGTGCAATTAATTGTTCATAAACCCACTTGATAGAGCCCAAATGAAGGAAGATCAAATGCTGCAGCAGATCAAGTTTTTGCTTCAAATAGATATCGGGACGAAAAAAAAAAACTGATTCGGTGTTAAGTTAGAGAAGGTTCACCTTGGACCATCATATATATCAATTGCATTTGTGATAGCATTATCATCATATGTTGTCCTAGTACAAAAGCTAACACCAGGTCGATCAAGATCCTGCATCAAATGAGAAATACTTCATCCAGCTACTTTTAGAGATTGTTCGGGAGATATACATTAGCTGAACAAGTACATCTAAGCATTATTTGTAAAAGGGAGGCAAATTCTAATTCCTTATATATGACAGGAATAAGTCCGAAGAAATGAGATAATCTAGCTTCAAACAATGAGCTCTCAACATAAATTAGCATTATCTCTTGGCCAGTAGACTTGGCAATGAACACGTTCACGTAGTGTATCATCATTTATCGGTTACCGCCTTACGAGGGGGATGCACCATTTCTAACATCGGCAGGCCCCATAACACAACAAAGATTTCATTAAGAGAGAATTACCTTGCAAATTAACTCCCCTTGAAATCCTCCCGCAATCAACAGATTGTCACGCACAGCCAATGTACTAACTTGTGTCTGAGTAAATCCTTCCTGTAAACTTCCTGGGTGTTTCTGTAAAAGGAATATGTCAGACCAGATGTGTACCAAAGGAGAACAAAACAGAAGATGCACAAAAATAAGATATTGCAAGAGATGCACCTCACTGGGAGCCACATGACCAGAGACATTAAGAACTTCAGTCTTCTTAGAAGTCAACGATGACCAATGAATTATGGAATAATGAGACATGAGGTAAACATCATGCTTTGAGGTCGACCAGACCAGATTCCTCAACTGCAATGACGTAAAGCAACTTGAATTGAATTAGCATTCATAAACTCATAAAAACGCCCAACAAGATATTAGAATATATGACAGGTAACATCATTTAATAATAAAACAGACAAGCCATTCAGAAAAAGTCAGATGGAGCGCATATACTTACCTGAAAATGAAGAATGGTTGATTTTACAGATCTAGTATTCTGCCAGAACTCATAATACACACCTCCTTTTCTCGTTACTTTACAGTCCTAACAAACCCAAATAAAGAACATCACGTAAGCATCAAGTTACTATGTCATAAAATGGTAACGCGCCCATTTGAAACTCAGCATTACCTTCTCTGATCCCTCTCCAGATTGTGGGATATTCTCATAATTCTTGTACTGTTCTAATCTTGTCTGTCTATACTGCTCCCTGGATATGCTTAACCGGTCCCATGGAATCCCTTGGATATCCTTCCCTTTCCGCGCCTCAGCAGCAGAGGTATCCGTAATCTTGTCCTAAATCAACATTTAAGTAAATTCACATCATCAGAGAAGAAAAAAAAAAAAAAAAAATTGAAATTTGTAAAATTCAAATTAACAATTACATCAACCGGAAAGTATGATGAAGTGCATAATGAACTCACCAATTGATCATATCCATCCTCATCTTCCTCATCAGACTCCGACTCTGCCATCAGCCCATCACCTAAATACATGTCCTCTACTTCACCTATCTCGTAATCATCACCAGCCGCATAATCCATAACTTCTTCTGTACAGAATATTTCCCACTATTTATTTTCTCTATCTAGTTTTATGCTCGCAAGCACTATCTAACTAGAATACATATACAATCACCTGCAATCGGACAAAAGCACGGATTTTTAAGTTTGCAAGCCGAAATTGAGTAAAATCAATTACATCTAGCCAATGGATTACACCCAAATCGCTGACCTTTAATATAGTACTGCACAAAAACAACAAATTCATTTCAAACCACACTAAGGAAAAAAAAAATGAAAATTTCCAAAAAGGATAACAAGAAAAAGCTCGTCGTGGCAAAAATCAAAACAACAAATTGAGATAAAAAAAAACCTATATACGACACAATTATTCAAACAGTTTCACCTGAACTACCGCTCTCACTTCGAAAACCTAATGAGAAAACAACAAATTGAACCCAAAAAAAAAAATAGAAAAATTAATCAACAACAGAGCACCAGACACCATAATTGAGCTGCAACAAACAAACCATATGACTGAAAACTACAAGCTCCAATTCGAACCTTCAATTCCTTCGACTGTCAACGTAATTCTGAGCCGGAAAAATAACTGTAGAACGAAAAAAGAAACGACAAATCGGACTTTGGGTACTCCGATCGAGACGATTAGGCCGAGATCTCCGTCATCAAAATCAGTGATAGGTATCTGTTCACAGCTCAAATGGGAAAAGGGCTAAATTATGACGAAAGGGGTTGCAGCTCAGGTGGCCATTTATGCTTTTAGTGATACTAATAATAATTAATAATTATTATTTATATATAAAAATATATTGACAAATTATATCTATTGTGGTAAATGGAATTTCTAGTTGTGTTTACTTATGGTTTTAATTTATTGATAAAATATAAAATATTTTGGGAAACAAAGTTTAAGGATTGGATTTATTAATAATTAGAACTTTGCACATAATACGTGATAATAACATATTAATGATATACAAATTATTTAAAAATATTAACAAAAAAAAAAAAAAAAAAAAAATCTTACCGTATGGAATTTATTACATTATATTTAGTTGTTAAATAACTATTACCATCCATATTTCATGAGTATTATTTATATATACTAACTAATGTGGTCAAGCTTTGAACTTGGTAGGGATAACGTGAAATGCAAACGCGACGCAATATAATTATAAAATAAATGATATCATAAGATACGAAATAATACGAGCATTTGAAACAAAATTTAATATAATATTTGTTGTAGGTAAAAGTTCTTGAACGGGTCTAGGCATGTAAATAGGCCAAGCCGAACTCGAGCTTAGGGTGCTCGAGACTCGTTATTAAACAAGCCTGAAATCGAATTCCAGCTCGGTTCATTTATCACTAATAACGAGTCGAGTTTGAACCTTAACGAGCCGGCTCCCTAGATATAATTAACAATCCCATGGAATTTCTTGGATATCCTTCCCTTTCCGCGCCTCAATAGCAGAGGTATCCGTAATATTCAGCCTAGCTCCGAAAAATGTAGATTGATATGATTATGTCTAGAAAACATAAAATTGCAATATTAGGAGTACTAAAAAATATAAGAACATACACTAATACATGTATACTCATTACAAAATTATTTTCTTTAATACAAATTCGTATCAAACTTGGAATTATATCATTTATAGTATTTTGTTATTCTTTTAACACTTCCAAAATATAATAACAATATTATCTTATTAAATATTAAAAAGACAAATGAAGCTCGCCATCGGCGACATCTTGCGTCTCACGTGGGCAGCCGGGTTTGTTCGGTGGCCGTCGAAACAATTCTGCACGTTCTCCGGGACTATGCTGCTGCGCAGGTGATTTGGATGGAACTGGTTCCGCTATGTTATTGGCGCAGATTCTTTGCATTAGACATGCAGATGTGGATTTCAGAAAATTTAACTGGCAGTTTGGTCCCGGAAGCAGACGACTGGGCGACTTCTTTCGGTGTTACGGTGTGGAGATTATGGCGGTGGCGGAATCTTAGGGTGTTCGAAGGAGAGGATACTACCTTGTCCCGCAGGCTGGGCGAGATCCGGTCCTTTATGGGGAAGATTCACTGTGCTCAGGCGACTAGCAGCAGGTTAAATGTGGGGGTATCGAGTGCAAACCGGTGGATATCGTGGTCGTTTCCGGCGGCAGGGGAGCTCAAAGTTAACACTGATGGTAGTTTTATTCCGTCGACGGGGATGGCTAGTGCTGGTGAGGTCGTTCTGGACCATTATGGCAACTGGATTCAGGGCTTTGTAATGAATATTGGGTTTTGCTCGATTACGGGCGCCGAATTATGGGGATTATTTCAGGGATTGCAGTTGGCTTGGGACATTGGAGCGCGAAAAATCACGGTGGAGGTGGATAATCAAAGCGTTGTTGAGATGGTCCAACATGAAGACACTACCGGACCTCATGGAAGCCTTGTGAAATGTATTCTGGATTTACTACGTCGACAATGGACTGTGACGCTTACTCATGGCTATCGTGAAGCTAATTTTTTAGCGGATTACTTGGCGTCGTTGGCGGCAAAAGGACCAGGCGGTTTGCATATATTGGACAGTCCTCCTCCGGGGGCGGGGTTATGGTTGCTACATGATATTGCCGGTGTGTCACACCCTCGTAGGGTGTTGATGTAGTCGGGACATAGGCTTTGCCTCCTTTATTGTACAAAAAAAAAAAGACAAATCATGCTCTCAATAAAAAATAAAACTAAAAAAACATTCAAATTTTGACCATAAAATTTCTGTGGAAAATATGTCGACGAAAATAGCAAACTGGAGTTGTGTTAATTATTTAAAAAAAGAACAATTGAATGAAAAAAGTGAGTAAAAGAGAATTATTTTGGTAGAAAATTAAATATTTTTTTTTAATAAATATAAAATAAAATATAATAATTAAAGGTGATATGATATAAATATAAAAATATTAAAATAATGAATGTGGTAGCTAAAAATGTATGAATGAATAAATAATAACTTTATTAAAATACATAGTTATAATTGATTTTTATATTTATTTGTGTTGATGAAAAGGACAAACTAGAATTAGCTGAATATTAATTTAAAAAAAAAAAAATGTATTAAAAGACTAAATTAACCGCGGAATCCACAAATCACATTCCCGTCGTCAGACTCCCGCCGCCCGACTGCCACCTGACCATCCTCAGCCTCAGTCACTGCCCCACCGGAGTCCCACACGGCACGCCGGAGACGACCACACCGCCAGGTTCGCCACCGCTATCCATAGGTCGCCGGCGAGCGCTACTCTCTCAAATTCAGCTTTCCTGCTCCCGGTAATCTACGAATTCCCTCTCCAGTTCCTCTGAAATTGACAGGCATCGAGATCTAAACTTCGGCTATTTGACGTAGGTATGGTAAATTCAATTAGGGTTTTATTGTGGCTCGTCTTTTGATTATGCGTTGCTCCATGTGAACTTTTTGCTTGTAATCCATCGTTCCCAGATGTTTTATTTCTCCAAGAACTTAACATGGCTAGTTAAAGGTGTTGAGAGGCAAGCCGTTTTTCTAGTTCACCCTCTTCCAGAGCCATTTTAAAACGAGCATGTATTCATGTTACTAGTCTTGATTATCGTCTTGATTTTGTCTATTATTCTTTTCTTCTTCCCTTCATTTGATGATTTGAAATCAGTGTTATGTTGTTGCCTTGGGTGTTCTCGCAACTATGAAATATGATCTTGAATTCGTGATTGGCTTCTGTTTTGCTCGAGCTATTTTTCATCGATATTTGTGGTTAATAGTCACATATATTCCAATTGGCTGATGATGTTACCATATTATGATATGTATTACTTGCCCTTCTCTGATGCTTTTGAGAGATTATCTAGCTAATGATGCATCCTGAAAGTAGGTTTTCACTAATGTCTAAGTTGTTTTACAGCTCACATTATGTAACTCAGTCTTTGTAATGTTTTTTATTTATCAATTTCTTGCCCTATTTACCTCTTCATCCATAGATTTCAAAGCCTACATTGATGTTGGGTCATGAAGAAGGTGGAGAGGACGTATATGTTTCTATTCCGCTTGGTGGCCCAATATATGTTCCTGACAGCATAGGCCCACTTACAAGAGTCTCAGACTTTGAAACTTCTGTATTTCAAGAACTTCAGGTATTCTAGTTGTTGCTGATGTGTTTATCTTGATATGATGTAGTTTTCTCTATCCGTCTTCTATAATTCCTTATTGATCGATTTTTTAACCATCTCACAGAGTCTGAAGGATGAGCTATCTCGAGACTCTACTGAAGCATGTGATGAAGATATTTCGTTAGTATTACTTGCTTCCTATCTTTGTTGTCTCATTAGATTGTTTAAGATAGTGGACCAAATTGGTTCGATTATGCTTTTCTCTTTTTTCACAGCTAAATTCATTTGTTTGATGCCGGACCATAATTCAATTTTGAAGCAACCTTATCTATTCTTGGGAACAAGTTGATGGGACATTCGGTACCTCTAAGATTGAGAATCCTTTTTAAATCAATTCATTAACGTTCACTACTGAGTTATGAGTTTAGTAGAGATTTTATGGCAGAGAATTGCATAATGAAGCTGTGTGGTGATGTTTATAATATCAAATTGCATATATTCCTTCAGTTTTGAATGGATTCACTGCACTTGCATAAATTCCAGTGCTGTGTCCAGTTTTAACTTTGAAGTCTTTGAGTGTCTGAAATTTTCAGGGTTGATGAACTCAAGATAATTACAGAAGATGAGTTAGTGAACAAAGCATTTGAAGAAGCTTTCAAGGCAACTGCTCTGGAATTTATTTACAAAGCCTACTGCCTAGTGCTTAGCTCAACTTAAGATAAATGATTTAGTTTTGTCTTGCATTTTTTTTAATGATGACTACAGGATGGTCGCTTGGCCACGGATGCTTCGCAATCGCAAGCTGCACAAGAGCAGTTGAGTCCCAACTCAGGTAACTTAGAACTTGTTTCCTCAGCGTTTTTATGACATTTTTCTAGCTCATGTCTGAAAATATGCTATTATGGACAAACTCATCTATAACATGGAAATTGGAATATGTGGATAATGATATATTATTCTTTATATGTTTCAGTTTCATCTTCTATATCCCCCGCAATCCAAAGTGAATGAAGGATAATTTTATGTTCTTTTCCTATTATGTCCCACAATATGATTGAGTTTATATCACTAGAAACATTTGAGTTCTGGCCCTTATTATTAACAGCAGATTATTTATACACCTCATTTTCGGGGAACATATCTTCTTCTTAGTTGTGTTCTGGGCAAGTATATGTGTTTTAGTTGTAGAAAAGAAGTTTGATTTGTTGTGGTTCTCAATATTTGAAAACTTGTGGGTTTTAGGCCTCTTTTATGTTACAGCTAGACTTCTTTTACAGTTTTTTTATTTACTAGATGGATATTGCTTCACTTGGTAGAATGTGGGCAAATTAGATTAGATGCATCCAGATTTTACTATATATGAAGTTTTTTGTAAAACAGATGGTAACTGTGCATCTGGTCTTGAGCTTGGTTCATTGCACAATTCAGAAGGGGATACAAAAGCGTTGGTTTCAAGTGCATCCTCAAATGCCGTGCCTCGTAAGACCCGTGGGAGTAAAAAATCGAACCAGAATCCTTCAGGAAAACAGACAAAGAGGAAGCGTAAAAAACAAAAGAACAACGATTTTGATGTGCGGAAGCATAGCTTAGTGACTGTTATTTTATATGTTTTATCTGTTATTTTGTGTTTATATTCGACCTCTTTCTTTTTTTTTTTTTTTTTTCCAGGAAAGCTATCTTGCCGAAGTTGAAGAATTAGCTAGAATAAAACAAAAACAAGAAGAAGATAAAGCAACTGTGAGATTGCATTCGTTTGAGTAAGCATTTCAAACTTTTGTGCGTTATTTTCATACATTATGTTTGTTGTATTTTTCATCCCGTTGATTATTTTCTTCCACTAGTGGCTCAAGGGAACCTGGAAATGGTGCAAATGCAAAAGCTGAGAAGATAAGATCTCTGAAATCTGGGAGTGTTTCAACCAAGGTTTGTCATCTTTCTTTCTCCCATTTTACCATTCTGCTCATACATATGACTCTTTGTATGTAGAAATTAATCTAGAATCCAATTCTGGATGTATTTTAATGCTAATCAAACTTGTGATTGTTTAGATTTATTTGAGTTATTTCTACTATTTGATGGATTATATGTAGAAATATGATATCAGTATGTAGTGTGCTTCTCAGCAGTCAGGTTTCACAAAAATTATTAATTGGACGAGAGTTTGAATACTATTTTTTCCCTTATTATGTTTACGAGATGGCTTATGATATTTTCAACTAATGGAATAAACTAATACAGTCAAGCTTTATGTAAAATCTTGATCCTTTCCTTCTGTTATTTGATGGATAAACTCAGGTGAGAGCCTCAAGTACCATTGATAATGTGCCAGTACAATATCCTGAGACACTCCTGAGCATTGAAGTTTATCATAGCAGGAAAACATGGTGGAAGGTACTTTCTACTTATCAACCACCCGAACGACTATTTGGGTTTTGATCGTATTGATGTGATTATATATCCATATCCGGGTACTTTGTCTCCTTCAGTTTAAAATATTAGGTAAGTTGACAGTGATATTGTTATATGAAAAATTTTAATGTGTGTAATGATGGCAAAAGTAATAAACCATTAATATGGAACTAGTTTAGATAACCCAAAAAACATGACGAAAAATGGAAACTTATTATAAGATGGAAAAAAAAAATAGAGAAAGAACAAAAAGAAAAAAAATGAGGTACTAAACTAAAGGGATTGTGGAACGAAAGAATCTGTGAGAGACTATTTATGTGATTGTCGACAAGAGCTAAATAGCGATGCTACTAGGCTTGAGGTCGTTCCCTAAAGAATGTTTTTACTAATGACTCGATCCATTGGTGAAATCATTTTTGTTGCAGAGTCTTTATTTAAGCTGCATATATGCTGATCGACTAATATGCCATTGTTGGTGACTTTTTCGTAGTATTGCTTTGCATCTCTTTATGCTACATGCATATTTAGGACAAATCAATAAGCTTGTATTTCATATCATTTGCAAAGATTAAGAAATATCTATACCGTAAACACATCTGGAAGAATCTTTTATATTTATATTGTAAATTACCGGGGATAATTTTTGTTGTGGTCGTCATTACTAATCTCCATTGAGCAAACAATCCGTATCTAGTGGTTTACCCGATTGTACTCCTCTAACTTCTAAAGAATACTTTAACTTTCTTTTAGGAGGTATTATTATATGCACCCAATATGAAGGGCACATTTTTTTTTTAACTAGACTAATATCTCAAGGTAAATTTTTGTATTAACCCTGATTGTCTTCAGAAGAAAGAGAACATATTTTGCAAATTGTTTTTCTTTTTCTTTTTCTTTCCTTTTTTCTCCTTATCCATTATTTACATCCGTCCTGAACTAATGATTTGTCTACCATTTATTATTAGACCCAAGAATTCCTGGTTCTAGGACGGCAATTTTTGTCTGAAGTAAGAGATAAGATATATTGTTCGACAGACGAGATAATGAAGAAGGCGGGACAGTTTGATCCTTCAGGCTACTTCTTCATAGAAGTAATCTCTCTCTCTCTCTCTCTCTCTCCTCTCTCTCTCTCTCTCACACACACACACACACACACACACACACACACACACACGAAAGTAAAACCTGCTTGTTAATCGCATTACAAATGCTATCTTACAGGATGTCTTTTGTAATGACATGCGAGAGTCCTCGGCCATAGACTACAGCAAGCCGATTATTGATTGGCTTAAAAACTCAAAGGATGATGCGCTCGAGAAGTGGGAATCCATTGTTTCCGGTGAACTGCAACAGAAGCAAAAGGCCCTTTTCGGTAGTGAAAGTAAACAGCAGTTGCAACTGCCGAAGCTAAGATCTGTTCTCATGCAATGTACAAGATTTTGTGACTTGAGATTTCGTCTTGGTGCTGGATATCTTTATTGCCATCAGGTCTCTCTCTCTCTCTCTCTCTCTCTCTCTCTCTCTCTCTCTCTCTCTCTCTCCATTGGACAGTAAAAGATAAATCTTTGTCTATTTTAGTTGAACCCAAAGCATGTAAATTCTTGAAAGTATATATTTACTTGTTTTTCACTAGGGGGATTGCAAGCACGTAATCGTGATACGCGACATGCGTTTAATTCATCCGGAGGATGTACAAAACCGAGCAGCTTATCCACTCATCACGCTTCAGTTGAAAGCCCGTTATAAAAAATGTTCAGTCTGCAAAATCTACCGTGCGGATAAGATGACGGTGGACGACAAATGGGCCGCGGCTAACCCCTGCTATTTTTGCGATGTTTGTTATTATATGCTTCACTATTCAAACGGGTCATTGCTCTACAGCGATTTCAAAGTGTATGAGTGTCACCATGATTCATGAATAACTAATCAATGTGTTGGGTCAAATTCCTTTTTTTTTTT